TCTGTTATGAGTATATATTTTACTGTAATGGAGCATCATCATCCATGCATGAGTAATCAAGTGATGCACTTTTGACCTCCTCCAAAACTTGCAAATCTGTTTTTCATGTGCCATTGTACTTAATTTGGTTACTTCCACCAGGGGAGGGAAAAAAAAAAAAAAAAAACCTTTAACAAACCTGGGGTGGTGTGGGTCTGCTGGGCCCTCTTTCGTGCTCAGGTAAACAGCAACTGTTCCATAGAGGATAATGTGAGTTTAAATCCTGGGTTATTTTTGCACACATGCACACCTTGCCTTTTGTTGTACCAAGTGGGTAAAGACATTGCTCCTGTATCCCTCAGAGAAAAGTACTGAGAGTCACACAATTATTGGCTACTAGTATGCTAAAGCAAAAACATATTAAAAAAAGTAAGGGATGTGTATGTGCCATCTGTTATGCTTGGAGGGATATTAAATTTCTGGTTAAAAGTTGGAGTAAAAATTTCACCCTACTTCCAACCAACTGGAAGACCTTAGGCAAGTTACTCTGGTTCTTAGTGCTATTATAGGCATGTGAGGATTACTGAGATACAAAACAATAAGGTACCCATCATACAGTAAATATCTAATTAAAATCTCAGTAAAAAAATTAACATTAATTTTATTGCATTTAGTATTTTGATACATAGAAAGTAGAACTATAATGGACCTTAGACTTAATTTCTTTATCTTGAATATTTTTCCCCATGTAAAGCTACTAAGAACAAAGCCAAGTGTGTCACCTTCGGGCTTTTAGTTACATAGCCCATCAAATAACTACAGGTTTCTTGTCCAAGATGACATGAACTCTCCCATTTTTCTTGTCTTCTTCCCAATTCTGTTTATCAACCGCAACTTTTTAAAATTTTATTTGAACACAAGAGAATTTCTGTATGTACACACAAACACATACATACACACACATACATGCATGCATCTGTTATAACATATTTTATTGAAGCCAACATCTACCTGCAGGAATAAATTGCTGTTTCCAATACTGACACTATAATACACAGGCTACCCAAGTTTTGTTGAAGTCTACAAAAAGATAAAGCACTTATTTTTTTATATTAATAAGACAACCAAAGAGATGCTAAAATTTCAATAGTGACTAACAAATTTATATTTGCTTTTCTTTATGTGTTTCAGGTATTCTTTCTAGGATCTCCATTTTTTGGAAATATGTAGATTTATAAAGTACTTCATATTTTTATTGAGGGCTTCCAAAGACAGTATCGTAAAAGCACAATTTGCGTTTTCCAGAGCTCCAGCTCAAAGCTAAATGTATTCGATACACCAACAATGAAAGCTTATGTATAAAGTACTGGTTCGGGGACCCATCACCTCTCATTTCTTGCATTTGCATTGAAGTGGGAGGATGATTTACCAAGCAGCTGTGAGAACAATGAACCTCTCTGAACCCAGCTGACTTTTACAGTTGAGCCGTAAAATATACTGTGCAATGAATAATTATATTAAGAAATAAAGCTTTGGATGACAGGTCTGGTCTAAATTGACTATTTTCTGCAACAACCAAAAGAAAAAAAAATCCACACTTAATAAATAGCTCTCAAAATTTTTTTTTAAAAAGGCAGCTCTCTCCAAGTGAAATGCCCACCACATTTTTTAAGAAGCCAAGAAACATATCACATGCTAGCATTCTACTAGCAAATTTAAAAGAGTTAACTGTTTAAAACACAAACTTATTACCTCAGTTTGTTGGGTTGTAAGTCCAAGATGCATTTGATTCTCTGTTTAGGTCCTATGAGGTGGAAATCAAGGTTATCAGCCGGACTTTGGTGATACCTGAAGGCTCTGAGCAAGAATCTGTTTCTAAGCTTCTTCAGGTTGCTTACTAAGTAGTTACCAGGGTAGGCACAAGTTCATTTCCTCCCTAGCTGTTGTCAGAGAGGTGATATCATTCATAGAGGGTGATATCATTCATAGACTCTCCATCTCCAAAGTCTGCAACATCCCCCACACGTACAATCCTCTTATACTTCTCTAGGAAAAGCCCAATCCCTTTTAAAAGCTCAGGACTACAGTTTCCCCATTCCTTTGAGACTTGAATTATGTCAGTGAAAACTTCTTATTGCTGTATCCAGGAACCAAGATCAATGCTTAATTCCGTAAGAGCAGGTGTGCATATTGCGGGGCTGTGGGAACCCGGCAGGCCATTTCAATAGTTTCATATAGCAAGCCAATCAGGCTATAATCTACTCAATAATAGTAACTAATTTATTTACACACTCCAAGTCATAAAATAAGCATATAAATGGAATCCTTTCTCCAGCTTTAAGATATAATGAAAATTGAATATATTCAATATATTGTAAATATATTGTGAAATAATTATCACCACAGAGCTAATTAATACACCCATCCTCTCACATAATTACTTTTGTTAGTAGTAAGAAAACTTAAGATCTATTCTCAGCAAATTCAAGCTCTGGTGTGTTCAAAAGTAAGTATTCTTGGCAAGTTATGATCTGCAATTCAGGGACAGAAAATAAAACTAAGGAATTGGTTAAAAGGTAATAAAAAGCAACATGGACATAAGAATACTAGAGAATCAGCTCCATTTGCATAGTATTTTTATTGGTGCATAAATAATTCCTTGCGTGGAGTTGGTACATGTACGTAACACATCTTAAATCCTTTCTCATCCCCTCCCTTCTCCATCTCCTGACCCCCTTTCCCATTTGAGAAAGATCTACCTCCCGACTTTCTATTATTCTTTCATTTTAGTCTTTATTTATAATTTGGGTTTAAATTCATCACAATCATATCTAAGAAATTTATATGGTTCACTAAAATCAGCTGGTCAATTTTAAATTAAAGTTTAAACAGTAACAGTAATACCTTAATATATAAACATTCTATAAAAATCTTTGTAGATCAAGGGAACAGTAATCAATTTAATGATGTGGGAAAATTGATTAGCAGTTGAGAAAACATGATGACTACTTGCGTATCATCTGTCATTCCCCCAGGGAGGAAAACATGCTTTAGAGAAAACAATGCAAGAATAAGACTAGATTGAAGATATGTCAGGAAAAGCCATGATCATATCATAACAGCTTTGCTCATCAACAGCCTAATGTTATACAAAATGTAAACTGCATCCTTTTCTGCACATTTGTATTTTTCCTTCTCATAATTTTTAGCACTAGCCATTTAAAAAAACATAGGACAGAGATGATTTCAGGTGGCTGTGTGACTTTGGAAGCCACTGATCTCTCAGAACGTCATTAGCTGTATCTGTAAAATAAAACGCGACTGAAATTTTAGAACCAAAAACCACCTTTGACTGTATGATATTCATAATTCTACTGAGTTCTAAACTCATTTTATCCAAATATCAATTTTTAAAAGGGGAAAACATTCCCTTTAAGTAGGGAAATGTGGTATCTTAGAGAATGTAAGAGGTTATCTGGAGTAAGTTACCAATTAATTTCAGATTGAGTTTCTACAGATGTATTAACATTTCAGTAACTGAAGCCTTATGGTTCTTTCCGTAATCTCCCTTGTAATTACACACACTGGACTCACTCCTTTGCTTATGTTCTCAAATTCAATTAAAAATGTCACTATCCTAAAAGTTATAGATGCTATTAAAATAAATTCTATTTTCCTATAATAAGAAAGTCTTACCACCTTGGCATGATCTACCAAATTAAAAAAAAAAAAAACAGAGTTCTTAAGTTATTTTTAACTTTTAATATATTAATGTTCAGGAACATTACTGCAAGTTTATGATATGTCCGATTTTGTATCACATTCTAAATTTTCAGGGGCATTGTTTTAATCCCGGCATAGAAGATGATGCTTAAAACTGAGTAGGCACAAAGTATTTCCAGGTAAGCATAGGTAATCCATAGGCCCTGCCTTCAAGGAATTTATAACCTAGAAAAAGATGGGAATAGGAATGGGATGAATGAAATAAAACACTGAATCACACAGCCTACACACAGATACCTACACCTCCTGCTCCCTGGACTCTGTATGTAACATGGCCAAAGGGAATCACATTTGCAGATGGAATAAACTGCTCCTCAGTGAACCTTAAATCACTGAGAGTGAGAAAAGTAAAGGGGAGAACTGAGTCAAACAGGACAAACAAAGGAGCAGACCTACTTCTGTTGCCCTACATGATGAAGGAAAAGAACTGCACAAGCCAAAATATGTGAAATCCAGAAGTATGGTACAAAAAGAAAGAAAATTTCCCCACAGGCTCCGAAAAGAACACAGCCTTGCTTTCCAATACGAGGCTTGATTTCAGCCCAGTGAGACCCATGTGTGATTGCTAAGCTATAGAACTGTAAGCTAGTACAGTCTGTTGTTGTAAGACATGAAGTTTGTGGTAATTTACTATGGCAGCCAAAGGAAACTAACTCAGCATCAAGGAAACAATTTCAGCGGTGACGAGGCTGCACTGTTGTGATACTTCATTGAGACATGAAGGCCTGAGTGCCCTGCTGCTCCAAGTGCGGTTCCTCCTGAGCCAAACTGGTGGCGAGTGCCTTTTTTTTTTTTTTTTGAAACATAAAAAAAATACAAAAATAAGCATTTTAACAAGATCCCCAGATAATGTGAACCAACATTAAAGTTTGAGAAACTCTACATTAAATTTATTAAAAACTATTTTAAAATAAGAAATCTTTCTTTTTTTATTCACAAATATCTGCAAAAAATATTTAAACACAACAATAAGAACACTAAGTTGTAGCTGTTAATACTGACCAAGAAACACACACACACACACACACACACACACACACACACACACACACACAGTTCTGCTCTTAATATAGGGCCTTCAGTAAAATCCATCTGCAAATAATTTTTCTTTGAAAATTCCCATGAGTTGAAATATTATAAATGTCAAAATTTTATTACTTTTGAATTAATATTAGACTCTCTAGAAAAATACTCATAGAGCCATCTTGTGGGGGACAAAATAATTTCATTCACATAAGCAGCTTTTTAATTACTTTAATAGAAAAGACAATGTTTCCACATTTCACAGACTATTAAAAAGAAACGTAGTTTCAAAACATCCCAAGTATTTAATGAAAATAAATTTATTGAAAGGTAATAATAATAATCACAATGTTAGTACTACTAAATCATTACAGATGCCTTTTGCTTTATAATATTTTGACATTAGGTGAACAAAATATGAAACAATATTAACATTTTAAAACTATATTTTATTTAGGTTTTACCTTTTTTGCTAAATCTGTGCATACTAGAAATGTACTCACAATGGCTGTAAAGATATTCAGCTAACGTCCTATTTTAATGATGTTAAAATGACCCTCTACCAATTATGTGGCACTGCAAATCATTCTGTCTGTTTACAAAGTTAAAATAAGCAAGGATTCAATGAGTCTCTCTAGGGAAGAGATTCGGCTAAAAAAAGAAAACATTAACTGAGAATTAGTGGACCAGCGTAAGAAAATCAGCTCAAACTAGAAGGACACATAATTATTCCACATAATTTGGTCAGGTTAGATCAATAAAACTCACTCAATAAGTAAAGTCAACAACACTATAAGACAAGTAGATAACGTAAGTGCAGTCCTCTGTTTAAATTCACCCATAATAATCCTACTGCATCAACCTGTAAAGCACTGAATCCATTAAAATAACACATCTTACATAACAAAACAGCAAACCATTATCGGGGCACACAGTTTAGGACCCCTTCTGCTCAGTGTGTACCATACAGACAAAACAGGCACCTCCACTGTTTTAATTTTTAATAAATAAGAACACATCAGGAAAACAGAAGTAAGCAGCACCTGAAGCCTTGGACATTAGTAACTAAATGCTGGTACCCAAATGATCTAGCTCATTAAGTGTTACTAAGAGCTGTAAAAAAAGGAGCCATTTTTGACTTGACATTTTTATTCTAGTAGAGATAAGAATTTGTGTGGGCATACAGTTCTGTCACTCTGATGGTAGGTAGGACACCAGCCTTTCATGTGTCCTATACTTTGGAGAGCAGACCTGACTCTGGAGCACTCGCCTTGATTAGATTCTGAATTTCCTTGAATTTTGGATGGTCTTTGTCAGCCACCAGCTGTAGCAGAACAGCTTCGCTCGTGGTAACTATGATCCCAGTTCGAGCGAGGCGCTTTAAAAGAAAAGACAAACAAAGGCAATCAAGAAGTGAGCATGAGAATGAACGATTTCACAGCAGCAAAAGTGTGTGGGGGCCAGGGATTTAGCTCAGCAGTACAAGTGCCTGCCTGGCAAGCACGAGGTTGTGAGTTCAATTCCTGGTACAAAAAAAAAAAAAAAAGTGTGCTGTGGCACAATAATTAGTGTCTGCTACCACAAACATGGTCCAGAGTCATGCCATCAGTTGCAGGGATGGGGAGAGACTCTGAAACCAGCCATACCACAAACTCACTGCAACTATTCTCAGTATTAGTGACCATACCATACCAGCCATACCACAAACTCACTGCAACTATTCTCATGGATTAGAATAAAAGAAAGGCATGTTGTGAAGCCCTGGATTCAATCCCCAGAACTAAAAAAAAAAAGAAAAGTAATTATTCAATTTCATAGAAAGAAAAAATTTAATTGTATTAAAATGACTACCACCAATAAAATGAAGATCCTTTATTTTTTCTGTCCTTGAAATCTGACATATAAGATGAGAGTTCTTTCCATAAATAAGAGCATCTTTGGCTAAAAATGATTGGCAAGAGAAGAGAAGCCTCTCTGCTGAGGTTTAAGAATGCACCCCAGCACCGTCATCTCTACTGCCATCACAGACTCTTTAGAGTCACTAAACAAGAGCATCGTATTTGAAGTTGTGTAGTTTTCCTTACAGGCAAAAAGTGTCCTTGCCAAACTGCTCCAGCAGAATCAGAGTAACTTACGGAATCTTATGGAAGGGAACAGGGAGAAGAAAAAGGAGGAAAAGGGGAGCACAGGGATGGAGGACAGCAAAACAAAAAATCAAAAAGGAAAAGAGGGAGGGGAGGAAGAAGCAGAGAAATGAATTTCACAGCGAAGACTCATTCTCTGAATCTTTCTTGGAATCTCTGGCGAAACATTCACCCCAAGCATCCACTGCAAGAAACATGTAAGTGGCAGTAGAGACAATTCCCAGGCAAATCGGAGACAGACCCAAAGGAGTCTCTCCTCACAAAGGAGCAAGCATCTGAACAGCTGAGCACCCCTGTGGAGGAAGCAAACCTTCCTCCAGATGCTTCTGCATCCGCAGACCCCACCTCTCCTTCATGCGACCCCTCCTTAAGGCAGAAGGGAGTAAAGGCCAGAAGGCTCTTAGAAAGCAAGCGTGGCCCTCAACAGCAGTACAGAAAAGGGGACAGAGCAGCTGACCAGGACTTGCAAGAAATGAAAACAGAAAAGGGGGCAGAGCAGCTGACCAGGACTTGCAAGAAAAGGAATAGGAGTGTTAGTGCCCTTCCTAAGGTCAAACTCCAGCATGAATTTTCTTAAGACTTCTGGAAAGTCCTATCTCGTACTCCTTTGCCCTTGTCAGTTTATCGTTAGCTCAAACATCAAAACAGCCTGTGCTTGCTTCAGACAGAAAAGCAGAGACACAAGTGCAGTCTACTGCTGCAGAGAGCCCTGAAAGTCTGCTCCTTTTCAGCCCAACTCTTACCCAGCTTCAACCACCTTCCCTACTGGTGTTACCAAGGAACTCTTGATGATTCAGTCTGAGGCTGAGTCACAGGCATTCGATATCTATGGAGTACTTTACATACCTCATATGCCAACCAATGTCAGTTCCCTCTCATCTTTCAAGGCCTTGAATGAGGCACAAAGAGAAACTACTCAGGCCTAAGGAAGAATTCTGTTGACTCAGAAAAAAGACTGTCTGTAATGAGCAACTTTTTCTACCATCCTATCAACCAGAGCCCGGCCCTTCCCACGCACAATCCTCAGTGACGCTGACAGTCTGGTGATGATAGCATGGGCAGCGTAGGACACTCACATCACAGAGAATCATTTGGGAAGATGGTCACCTATGTAACAGTACTTAGCTTCAAAAGTGAATGTAGTCAATATGAATGGGCTTTTAAAACAACAGTCTAGCCAAGAACCTCTGTTTAGACAAGGTATGGTACACCAAAATACAAAGTGTTTACGTCAGGCTGGTAGACACTGGCCTAGTGCCTGCCCTGCCCCAACCTGAGAGGGCACCTAAGCAGCAGGAGTATTTTTGGCATGTTCCTGCCCTCCATCTGACAATACTGGACCCAAGCCCACTTTCTCTCTGGGTGGTAAAAGAGGAAATAATTAAAGCTCTGGTTGTTTAACGTACAGGGGTCCACGTGCATTAGGGTCCAGAAAATCTCTCTTTTACCTGCAAAACCAGCCCACTAGGTCAAAGGAAAAGTTTCTGAATGATATACCTAAAAACACAAGAACACAAAGCCATGAGATGGGGAGGGGAATTAAGTTTCTGAGCAACATCAAAAACTACTCATAAGTACATCAAGTTTAAGAGTGGGCTTTATCAGATCTTATTCTGCAGTTACTGTACAATCACTAATTGAAAGAAACAATGTCTGACACAATTACTGAATAATACCTATGCTACAGACCTTGATACTTGCTAACTATAAGCCTTATGAGTATAATCATTGGTAATACGGATAGTGTCAGGAATTATCTTAAATAGTGACATTCTGAAGGAATAAAGAAGGAGAGCTATCCACATTGCTGTTTTAGCCTTCCTAGTTATAGAAAAAAAGAAAAGAATAACATTTCACAGTTCTCCAAAGTACTTAGGGTAAATTAAAACAATACTACTTTCATTATGAAGACAAGACTGAAAGGAAATATTTAGTCTGGCAAGTGTTTCTGTCACCACTTGACCTGATCTCTAATTCTAATTCTCATTTCTGCCTTTCAAAGTCAGTACTTTAACCCAAGCAAGCTCTTCCCAGTCATCCTGACAAGGGATTCTCTCCCTCCTTTCTCAGCACGGCTCAGGACTGGTCCCTTCTGGGTCTTAGATGTAATATGTTTATATTTTAGGGGAGACTAACCTCACTAAAGCAACACCAAAGCCCAGGGATGTAGATCAGTGGCACAGCACCTGCCTGGCAAGCACAAGGCCCCGAGTTCCATTCCCAGTACCAACACAAACAAAACAAAAAACAGTAAGACAGTAACAAGTAACACTAGTATTTTAAAAAGCAGCAGCCAGCATTTTAGTATATACTGTGTCACATAACTCTACAGACTGCCAGGAACACTTTATCTCATTTAATCCTCCAAACAATCCTGTGATGTAGTTGCCATTATTATTTCTACTTCACTAATGAGAACTCTGAGGTACATCATGTAGTTTGTTCAAGGACACATGTGCATGAACCCCCACCACTCCTGCATTCACAGACTTGCTACACCCCATTGTTTGGACTCCTAGACTCCCACCAGATGGCCTGTCAAAAAGTGAGCTATGGATGGTAATTAGTGGACTATGTTTTTAGTGTGAGTCTTGTGGGCAGATGGAACTGCTAACAGTCAAAACTTCCTGTGATAAATGTCACAACAAAGATAGGACTAAGAAGCCTAAGGCAGGAATCAAGTCCTTGTGATGTCTTTGTAGGCAGGAGAGAGCTACTTCTTTGTCCTCAGCTGTTTACTTCTTTAGTGGTGCTGCAAGGTCTGGCCCTCTGTATCAAAATAAAGGCTATTCACAAATAAAAAGAGCAGCTCCGTGAGGCAAGAGGGTCCCACAGTGAGGTATGCAAACTGAGGTTATTAAGCAAATTTGAAAAGTGAAAGCTGATTACCTCATGGCCATTAGAAAGGCTTACAGATCCCTGGTGACACTGAAAGAAGCCACACTTAGTAATGATATCAGCAAATCCAACAGCCCCCAAGGTCTTGGAAATAGTTTGAGAAAATAAACTAGTTTCCACTTGTTATCTCAATATAAAACTTACTACCTCAGGAAATTACAGAGAAAGGGTAGGCCAGCAGGGCTCCAAACTGGAATGATCAGTTAAAGCCATCAGCCCTTCCCCATGCCTTTACTGAATGGATTTCCTGATCTTGCCTTTCCTCATCTGCTCTACCTTAGTACCTGGAGATCACTTCAGGCTACAGGAATGATTCAGCAATCCTATAGGGAAAACAGTTCATATGCTAGTTTGGGCAGAGAACACTGGAGGACCACAAAACAAAACTCCACTATACTTCTTTCTTAGTAAAAATATTTAATTCTGCAATTGGATCCACATGCATATAAATATAAATCCACATGAATATGACTCTAAAATTATTACTGGATCAGAAATACATATGAAAGAGACATGACATTTTTGAGTAAAAGTTTCCCAAGATTATGAAAGTTTTGACGATAATGCATACATTAATATTACCATTAGGTAATGCTAATAATCAGTGATTTCCTGACTGCCTGGAATATCATGCCTCTCTAGTGCTGAAGAGTGATGAAACACTGTAGGTAAATGGCACACACAGGGAGGCACACATTTCCTAATTCCAACATTCAAGTCTGATGAAATCTATCATCAGGTTGAACCAGTTGTAAATCCATTCTAACCTAGCTTTGGCTGAACTGAGTTAAACCCAAGTGAGTTTCCACTTTGCAAATCTCTAAACGTTTCAGGTTAGACTGCCTGAGAAAATCTTTTAAAAACCTACCTCAAAGGAGAAAACAAAATGCATGATATGTGCTAAGAACTGAAAGGTGGGCAGGCACACAGTAAGTCTCCAGAAACTAATGAGTCTGATATTGTCAGACCAAGCTTAAATTTAAGAGAGCAATCTGTCATTATAATTAAAAATACTCCTAATTGTTTGGAGTCCAGCAGGACAGTTACCTCAAGAGCAAACATCCTGTCCATCATGCTTCTTGATGAGGTGGCATCAGCAACAATATGAACCTCAATTCCTCGACCAACCAGCTCCAGTGCAGTTTGCTGGATGCATACATGAGTCTAATGGGAAAGTAAAAATGCATTCATAAATAAACGGTCAACTGAAAGTACCCAATAAATATACAGCAATATGATAAAGCAGAGATTACATCTAGTGACTTCGGCCCACAACTATTTTGCCTCTAATTAGCTCGGCTGCCTGTACTTAAATCAGCATCCCTGGCTTTGGTTTATTTATTTATAAAATCAACAATTTTATTCTATCTATGTTTCTCATACTGGGGACCTTTAAATATGTTCTTAGAGTTCTGTGAGAATTTTTAAAACATTTTTATCTGTATGCTCTGAATGACCTTCTTAGAGATGACTACTGCCCCTTAGTTATGGGACCACCTGATTCAGGTTTGTTTCTGTATCCATAAAAAGGGTTCAACACTGTGGAGTGAGAAAGAAGTAGGAAGACTGAATCGTTACAAGACATCAGGTAGCAAAGGTAGGCCACCGTTTATGTCAAAATAATTTATGACAAAGACAAAAAAAGGATGTAAAAACATGGCAAAAACAGTATTTTATAAATGCGCAAAAAAATAGGATAAAGCAAAAAGAGCATTATAACAATGTTACTCCACATCCAATTTTGCCTTTAAATAGTTACATCATCTTGAACATCTATTGGTATCTCAGGCTTGCAATTATTCATCTGCAAAAATCTGGAATTGTGGATACTTTAGTGTACATCCCTGTAACTATTTTATACAGATCCCATCTCTGTAAATACTAACTTGTGACAACACACAAGCAGAAACTAGAGTAAAACCACAGTTCAATACTACCTAAATTATACAACCAACCAAAGCAGATTTTAATAATGGCATGTCAACTATATTCTCTCATGACAAAAGAGCTTTGGAAAATTATCAACTGATACTTCATAAAACTTAGTATTAGCATTAACATTAGCAAGAAAGGACAGTTCAACGAGAACTTAATGTATCAGGTCTAATTATGAAGAAGAAAACTATGCAGAGGTCAGTAATAGCATTTGGTATGACATTTATACAAACAGCCTTCTTCTATAGTATCATTATTGAACCAAAATAATATAAATATTTAATGTATATTGCTTAGTAAGAGCACATCTTTTCACAATTAAAAACTACTGCTATAACGCCTACTATCAAAAGCTCATAACCATATAAAATTAAATTATCCTGATTTCATTTTCATAATAGCTCTGTTCATTATTTTTAAATTTTTAGTTTATTACTGGTTTAAAAGGTAGGAACAAAACAACTGCAATCATCATTAAGAATCTAAGAGTGGCCATGGATATAGCTCAGAGGCACAATGGCCGCATGGCAAATGCGAGGTCCTGAGTTCAATTTCCAGTCCCCCAAAAAACAGAACTTATGAGTATTTTTTCTTTTAAAATGTAATCTACATGATTCACATCTAAAAAACAACTCCAAGGCCTCTTAAGGTTTTCACAAAGTACAGGTAAAATTAAATCCTGCAACACAGAAAATAAAAATAATGCCTTTGGTGAAAATGGTTTACAAATAATTAAATGACTTCACAAGATTAAAAATCATACTCTAAAAATCAGTCAGGTCCAGCCTTGTCCTTTCCTACCTGTCCTAACTTGGGCAAGTTGTATACTACCTTTGTATTTTAGTTGTCACATCCATAATATGGAGGTATTAAGAGTACTGAGCTCATAGGATTGTTGTGAATATAATGAGCCAATAGCAACAAAGTATACAGAACAGCGTCACAAAAATAGTGAACACTTAATCAATAGTGTCTATTTTCTACTATGATTACTACTACATTGCATTCTATAAACAACATAGCATTCTGAAAACACCAAAATTTCCACAAGTAATATTGTGTTCAAAGCATAACAATAAATACTTACTTCTACTCCAAATAACACAACACTCCTGACTCCAGGAATCTCTGCCAATGCTGCTTCTACTTCTGGTAATACCATAGAAAACTTGCTCTTTGGAAGTACCAGTTTTACACCTGTTAAATCAATTTCTTGAACAGTGCTTCCAAGACCTTTAGGGTACTGTTCTGTTACGATAACTGGAATTCCTAAAATGCGGGCCCCTTGCAACTGAAAAAAATAGTAAAGAATCAGCAGCATACATATGAGAGTAGAGATGAATATATATCATGTTTCAGCAAATTGGAATAAATAGATAAACGTACCAGTCTCTGCCCCACACTTATAATATCCCCAAAGTATTTGATCGCTGGTCTGAACCTCTCCTGCATATCACAGCAGAAAAACACAGTGCTTGATGGTGTAAGATTTCCCAGGGTAGTGAGCTGAGGGAAAAAGAAAAAGAAATGATTTAGTGCTAGTAATACAATGACATTCATTTCCAGAAGAGGTAAAAAAGGAATGAAAATGCTCGTATTGTTTTTAACCAGTACATAAATTTCTAAAATAATTATCTAAAAAAAGTTGTATGAATTGTAAAAAAAAATTACCCACAAAGATGTTCTCTGAATTGTATTTAATAGTAAAAGTTAGTAACCAACTAAATACTAACAATACAGAAATGGTTTAATAAATTTAAACTCAATGACATTGTAAAATATTGCTCAACTAATTAAAAATGTATCTATATTGTTTGCAAAGAAATTGTTCCATCTAAAGAGAAATGCTCACTGTAAATTTTACAGAGAATGATGTTCAATGACATCTTAATAATTTAAAAATTTGAAAAGAAAATATATAAAAATGTTAACAAATAGGTTTATAATTTAAGCTATTATTGATACCTGATACTTTTCTAGTATTTTCCAAATGCTGAACCCATGAGCTGAATGTTATTTAAAAATATATTTTTATTACTTTTATAACCAGAAAAGTTTTCAATATAACTTAAATTTGTTGATAGTGTTGCTTAGAAGTAAAATTCCTGCTGTCAAGATAGACATATAAAGCTTGTCTCAGAAATAATTTTGAGTTTAGAAGAGAAAACAAAATGATGTAGAGGAACAAACCCACATTTGACATCTGCATTCTTATGCAAGGAAAATCAATGAATTACGACAAAGATTCGGTATTAGATTTCCAAGGTGCACACTTGTTGCTGCAGTGAGTCTACTCTAACTATTGGGGCCCGAAAAGGACCTAGCAAAAAAGCAAAGACCTATGTTAAATACAAGAATTTAATCTCCCTAGATTCTTAAGACGTTCATTGTGCTTTACTTTCTATCTTGCAAATTACAGAAAGTTCTGCAAAGAATGTGTTCTGTTCCTGAATGAACTAATAAGGTTCTCACTAGACACCACACATAAAACTGCCTCCTAATGACCTTGATTTGCATCCCCTAAAACTAACCACAACAATTACTAGTTACTTCCCGGCACAGTTTGGTCCCAATTGCATGGTGGGGGGACTTTACCACCAGCACAGTCCTGGATTAGCTTTAGTGTCTCTCCCTTATGGAAAAATTCCTACATGAATTAAATGAACCATTAAAACACATCTTTCACCTGTAGTGCTAGGCTGTTCTAGTTGGTGTGTCCCTTAGTGTTTCTAAGGCCTGGTCTGTGGACTCTGGCATTTTAATCTCCTGCTGACACCGATCTTTAGTATGTGTACAGATTAACTGCATCTACTATAAAGAAAAATTCATGATGTGCTGTGACCATTCTAATACTGTGCATATGGGTTTTCGGCTTTATTAATAATGATTAAAATAAACAGCCAAGTATCTTTAAATACCTATTCTAATTCTAGCTGATTTATTGTTTCATTTTTTAATGCAAGAATGATATTTCCATTCTGGTTGTTTTCAAAGGCAGTGAGTATGATGTGTATGTGGAAGCACTGTCAACAAGGCCAATTTTTGTGTTTTTATGTTCCTGTTTAAAAAAAAAAAAAAAAAAAAAAAAACAATCACTACTTATGGCTCTGCACTTTAAATTCCCAAGAAACATTAAATCTCCGCTCAAAAAGATCCAAATCAACATTTTTATAAACCTGAACGGTGGGTTCCTAGTCATCCCCAATGCAATTACAGCCCAGCAGATCAAGCAGATTGCTTGCAATAAGCCTGTTTGAAATTGAAGAAATAAAATAGCCAATCCTACCATTCTGCTTCCAGCAAGTATGCAAAATAAAAGCCCTGGGAAGTAACATAAATGGGTTAGTGGTAATTCTCTAGTATTTTTATTGCTTACACTTGCTTGGAACAAAAAACAACTCTCAGATCCATCTCAGGCTATATAGCCTGATGCTGAATACACAGCTAACAAGTGGGTGGTTCTGGATTTTAAACTCCCAGAAGGTTACAGACATCAAATCAGAAAGGGAAGTGCTAAAGGCAGGAAAACTGACAGCACTAAGAAATAACAGCTGGCAAAGCAAAGATTCCAAATATAAGTAAAGCTGATTGAACCCAGTTTCAAAGCCCCGGCCTCTGGTTAAGGAAGTTGCTGGTTAGGAACACACTATTTTAGCACATTCATTCATTATGAGTATTTCAGAAGGGCTGCAATATAAAAGGGCCCAAATATTTTTAATTTGGCAAATGTAAAGGAGTAACCCTACCTTCGCCAAAATTCCTAAATAGAGAGTTGTGATCTCAAATGGTTTCTGTTACTCGGCACTTCTCTATCCCTCATTTTAGGTGTGAAATTACCTGTTCCACACAAGTGACCACACCAAATGCACATCACAGAATATTACATCCAGTTTGAAGAGGTCAGAGAACATAGTCCTTAAGTCTTCACCTCTTACAAAACCTTTCCAGTCTGAGTTCTCAGTAAACAAAGACGGAATCCATTAAGAATACAGTGGCAAGGCAAGGCTTTATGCAAATATGACCAATTATAATTTTGTGAATCAAAAACATCCTGTTTTACGTAGATACTCTCACATTCCCTTAAATACAGCTGCATTTTAGTAATCACCTTAAGAGCAAGGCAGAAAGGAAGGAGAATAATTCCACCTGAAACACAGGAGAAAGCTGACAAGCACACTTCAGCTGGGTGATCATGATTAATGTAATTACCGATGTCATGCTGATAAAATGCACCCTTAGTAGGATATGATGAGAATGACCTTCACAAACTCCCTTTCAAATATCCCACAATCTGCTTGTGAGAGGATCAACAGAGACCAAAACTGAAGGACATTCTACTAAAACACCTGACCAGCATCCTCAAAACAGTTGAGGTCATTAAAAACAATGCAAAGTCAAAGGAAGTGTCACAGCCTATAGAAGCCAAAAGAGACAAGAGAATTAAATATAACTAATATGCCAGCCTGGATCCTGAAACAGAAAAGGACATTAGGGAAAAGCTGGTGATATCCAAATTAAGAGTGGTGTTTAAATCACAAATGTATTACAACTACAAAATCACAAATGTATTACAACACATAAGATGCTGACGATGGAGGAATGTATAGACAGGAACACAAAAACTCTGTATTATTACCACTTTACTACAAATCTAGAAGTATTCTAAAATAAACAGCTTATTTAAAATAAAAATAACAGCCATCCTATGACATAGTCATTGGAGAAAAAGTGTTACCACATAAATAAGTCTCTATAGTTTACAAACCAGAAAGATTTTCTGGCTACCAAAAAAACACAAAAAATTCCAACCATTCCTCTCTGCCCCCAGCCATAAATTCATATGAATTCTATCGTGCTATTGTTACAATAATATCACTGTGTAATTCATAGATTGCTTACTTTTGATTCATGAATTCTCTTCAAAACACATTTTTCAGTTAACTAAAAATATTACCAGCAGTCAAACATTCACATATTGCAGTTATAGGATAATTAATCCTGCCATAGTAAAATAAAATGGATTCAAACATCTACTGTCACAAGTAAAAGTGTAGAAACTGCAAATCCATGCACATTCAAGGAAAGAAATCAGATATAAAAAATGCATATATACCTTCATTTTATATATATAACATATATTCCCACACATACAAAAACAACATGTAAATGGCTAAAATATAAAGACAAATTTAAATATAAAAAGATAATCAGAGCCAATAGTTTCTTCAACCAAAGATTCAAGAGACTGAATTTAAGGATAATCTTGCTGTCCAGTTCAGACTGGCCCTGAACTCATTATGTAGCACAGAAGGTCCTCAAACTTGCAGTGATCCTCCTGTTTCAGCCTCCCAAGTGCTAGGATTTGTCTACTTTCTTAAGAACTGTCATAGATGGAATCTGATCTCTGATTTCCTATTCAACAGACGTTTCATACCCAAACCTCACATCACTATTATCACAACAGTATTTACCCTTCTTTACCACCGTACTTACTTTGACCACTTTCCAACAGTGACTGCTACACCATCAAGGTATCTGCCTCAGCCTTGCTCAGTCCTCGTGGATCCTTAGGACAGATGCTGTAAGGCATCTGGCCTAGTGCAGTAATACACTATGCACCAGGTCTAGTCCCTCCAAGAGTGATGCATGGTACCATATGTTGCACCATATCTTCCAAAATGCTAATGCTGAAGTCCTCACCTCCAGAAACTCAGAAAAACTACCTTAGTTGGAAATAGCTTCATTATAGGGCATCATTAGTTCAGATAAAAGTCATACCGAAATACGGTGGATTTACCTAATCCAGTAGGACTAGTGTTCTTATCACAAGGGAATGCACCGTGACAGCTACTCACTCACACACCAAGAATGCCCTGGGACTATGCAGGCAGAGACTGGGGCAAGGACTCTGGAAGAGAAGGAACACACAGACTGCCAGCAAACGTCCTGAAGCTAAGAGAAACCATAACAGATCCCTCCTCACCTGAGAACCACACTGCTGATGCTCTGATCTTAGACTCACTCCATCCCCTAGAACGGTGGGCAAGTTTGTTGTTTATACCATTCAGTTTGTCATACACTATTATAGCCCCCTAACAAATTGTTATAGTGACTAGTCTGTACATGCTTAATGATTCAAGTCTGAACTTTTAAACATGATTTTTAAAAAACAGTAATCTATTAAAGACACAAAATCAGCATGAGGTGCTTGAGTAGAGTTTCATGGAAAAACCAATGTATCAGTACTTTATTCCCAGAGGTTTCAAATCTGATTACCACAACAACAAGAAGACCTTGCTCCAAAGTCAACACATTTAAATCAGCACTGTTTCTCCAGGCCATAAGGATTCTCTGCACAGCACAGACCTGTGCAAGGTACTAGAATCTGAGTCCAAATTTCAATTTCACTTCTATTACGTTACTTAGATAAATCATTAACATCTCTGAGCAGTTTCATTATCTACAACACTGCAAGAAAAATATTCTCTACCTCACAGTGGTTTGTCAAGGGTTGAATGGGTTTCGTGTAAGAAATCAATAAATGCATCAAGCTGTTATGATATCTAATGAGATACTACACTCTACAGCTAAATAAATGCTTAAAAACATACTCTTTGCTGATATTAAATATTTACTATCTAGGTCCCTATAGTATTATTTAAAGCTGTATACACATATATGTTTAGAAATACTGCATAATTTATGCTAACAGTCTACACAATTAAGAAAGTGATTTACAAGCTGGATTTCCAGATATTCTCAAAGATTTATCACTGCATGATTTGAATCTGGCAAAACAGATACGTGGCCTTGTAGGCTTCAAAACAGCATGTTCACCTACTGTGAACATTGATATCACCAGCATAACATCTCTAACTTAAGCATGAGCTTTCTGACTTCTAAAGGAAAGCTAGCTATCTGCATCCACCTTGGAGCTGAGGACTGAAGTGTTTTCAGGTCTGTGCCTCCAGCTGGGGTAAAGGTGAACAGGGTAGGAGCAAGGAACATGGTGACATTTACATCTACATTATAATTCCCCTTGGCTAACTAAATGAAAAAAATCCAAATCAAGTGACACTTCCCACTCTCAAAGACAGTTTATTTATAGATAAACTTAAGATATTCATAAGAAGAAAAAGTATATACTGTTTTGGGCATTCTTCCCCAAAATTCACTCTTTCAAATGACACCCACCACAAACACCCATGCATCACACCAGTGGGCTGGATACCACAGGACAGCCTCAGGATCCAGGTGTCTCTCTCAAAGCCCTGACAGCACTTCTGTGCCCCAAGAAGACCTCTTTCCTGTCTCTGCACTGTAACTTCTGAGCATCAGCTTTTCTACCTGTGCTTTCTGCTAGGCTCCTCCTGCAAGAGTTCTATAATCAAAACATTCCTTCTTCAAACTAGTGAGCCAAAGGCAGAGCAGATGGCTTTCCCTCTCCTTTCCAAACCCTCCCCTTCCTCCTTGCCCACCATAAATACTGTTTTTTTCTACCTATAAAATGCTTATGCTGATTTACACTTTGTTTTAGAGTACAAACAAAGAAAAAAAAAAAAAAAAGCCCAAGAACATGAATGATGGAAACAAACACAAAAACCAAAGCCAAAAAAAGCCAAGAACATGAATGATGGATTCAATGAGCCATCTCAGGAACAGGTGGCAATAACCTTCTCAGGGAAGCCCTTATCTCCTGTTCACACAAAGCTGCGAAGTCTTCCCACCAATGCACAGAAGCATAACCTCCTCACTGGAGTCCTTCTTACAATGTCTGAAGCCTCCTGTCTTCTACTTGGGCTCCATTCTCCTTGAACGAATCTAAAAACAATGATCCACTAGGCAGAATGAAATCTAATTTAAATGAATTTTCAGGGTTAAATATTTCCATTCATTAAAATCTGGAAAATACTTTCTGAAAAATCAAAAGGTGCAAATCATAACATAAATCCCTACTCTGGAATTTTGTTCTTCACATTTTCCCTGTGTCTCTAAACTCATCAAACTCCAAGCATTTGACAAAGATGCAGAAAGATAAATCATTAACAAAACATGAGCTACTGAGCTGTCACCAGAAACTCAGTCACTTTGATAGAATATTTAAGAAAGGAGACACTAAAAAGTGACCATGGCTTGGTCCTGCCCATAGAGGTTTTAAAGAATAGTCCCCACATAACCACAGCCTACCACAGGGGCACAGTGGTAAAAGAAACCACTGTGTCACAAGGTTACACAACAAGCATAAAGACAAGAGAAGCCCCCTGTAAATTCAGAATACTTTCTGGAATATGTGAGTCAGCCCCAGGAGCTCCAGGGCCTTCACTGGGAGAAGTAATAACTCATACTATTTACACAAGAGACCACACAAAGCTTTCTGCCCCTGCCTTAGAGAAGGAGACTCCCCACCCAGTAGTCATGGGTGGGCCACCCCAAGCCTATATATGACAGGCATTTATTTCAAACACCAATGAGCAGAATCAAGACGGATGAACAAACAAAAGCTCAGGTTGGTGGCCTGTTTTCCAGACTGCTCAGCATCTCCTTAAACAAAACAGGAATCTGTGCTGCGCAGGTGTTGAGAACCTCTGTACTGTAATGAAGTGCTACTGAACATAGCCACATAAACTTAAGCAATCCTGTAACCTCCCATTTTGTGCATTCAGCTCTTCTACAAAATGAGTTAGATACTACCTAAGGAAGATTTGAATCCAAGTTTGCATCCCCCGGGCCACACACTTAGAGACACCACTGATATGTTTGTGCAATGAACTCCAGTCTCTAGCCATAAAATGTCTATGTCACCAGAATAATCCAGATGAGTTCCCTAAAATACAGTATAGTAACCACAAAAAGTGTCTTTTCTCTCTCCCCACAATAAACATAATCATTATGTACTGAAAACATGTACTAATAAAATTTAAAATGATATACATGACATATGATATATGTATCTAAATATAATCTTCCTTCCTATCACCTACTTCAATGCCAGGAGGTGCACCTGGCTGAAGAAATCAAACTATTACAATTATCAAAATAATGTAAAAGTATTTGAAGTACTCTAAAAATATACACACAACTGATGTGTTAGAATTCTTCAAGACTAGTAATAAAAGTTACAATCAGTAACAGATAAAACAGGGTAATGCTATTTTTCTAATTATTTTTGTTATACATCATTACAAAACATGACTCTACACAAAGCCACAAGTGACCTGACTCACATAGTGCCTTTTTGAGTAAGTATGGGAACCTTGGGCAGATTCAGTTACATTATTCTTTTCCAGAATATTTAATTTAAAAGCTGTCAGGCTACACTGAGGCCTTGACATTTTCAAAATAATAAAAATGCCACAGTATGGACTGGTTTAGTGTAACTTCGTCTTCCCTGAGAAATCTATCCTCCTTGCCAAGGATAACGGGATGTTTCACAAAGAATTCCACATTCTCAGTTTAACCGCAGGCCTCTTCAATACTTGGATTATCACCTTTACAGATGGATATGTCAAAAATACATCCAACATCTTGGAGGTTTAAGCAACCATAACCTGAACAGACTGACAATGAGGGTGAAAGGGACGAATTAGTCCGAACTCTTGACATAAAAATGAAGAATCTTAAACACCCAAGAACCAAGGTTCTCCATCTGGGCAGCCAGACAAATTCTAGGGTATCAGATCATGTTATTTCAAGACTCTGAGGGGTGGACACGAATTTCAGACTTTCTCTTCTAATCGTAAGAACTTTATCTAGGTCAAAGTGCCTGCTTTGGAAGCCTCTGGCCTGGTGTTTGGGCACAAACACCTGGTGGTTTCAGTTGCTGACTACAGGTGAAAATAACTAAGGAATAATCCCCAGGAAATTGAATATTAAAATCCCTCCGAATCCCTAATTCCATATTTCCGTTTTGCTTTCCAAAAAAAAAGTAGTTTTTCAGTTTATGAAAAAACAATCGTGAATGGTGTAATACCTAAATCATACTTTAGATTGTTACTTTTCAAAAACAGAAATCCATCAGTGAATTCTCTGATCTGAAAAGGAGGAGTAGAGATTGACCTGTATAGTCCTGGAGTATGTCTTTTAAAAACAGCAAGATAATCATCCTTAAGGATATAACTTTCTCAGCCTAAAGACTAAGAATTCATGCGCTGGCGTTAGCTGGGTATTTAACAGCATACTGCGGCTCTGGATCAAGCGGCTGTCTCAGGGTAGGCGGCCGGCAGGCGACCACCAGCAGGCGCGGGCAGCTGCGAGGAGGACACGGAAACGGTCCGTCCCCGAGACCTTCGCTCCGGAGACCCAGACCTGCGAAGCGGGCCAGCTCGCGTCCCCGGTTCTCGGCACTCACGGAGCCGCCGTCACGCTGCACAGCGACGCGGACAGGCAGCGGGGGCCACGCCCCGCGGAGACGGCGGCGGGCGGCGGGCGCCCCGGACGGCCGGGCGCGGGCACCTGAGGAGCGGCGCGGGCCGGCGGCACCCACCTGGATCTGCAGCGGCACCAGGCGCACCTTGCAGCGCTCGCTCACCGCGAAGCCCTTGGGCAGGTCCACGTACTGGCCCCACTCCTCGGCGAAGAGCTGCACGACGAATTTGCGGTGCCGGTCGATCTGGTCGCCGTACAGGCTGAGGAACTTCTGGATGAGCAGCTCGTAGCCCGCGCCGTGCGGCACCGACGAGGGCCGCGCGAACACGGAGAAGCAGAAGAGCACCGGCACCGCGCCCGACGGCGCCCCCGAGCCCGCGCCCACGCCGCCCGGCAGCGCCGCGGCCGAGGGCTCCGCCGCCGCCATGTTCCCGCGCGTCTGAGGCGGCCGCCGGCTCGGGGCGGAGGGCGGAGGCGGAGGAGCGGCGGGCGGGCTCTCCCCGCCCCGGCGGAGGCGGACCCCGCGGGGCGGGCCGCGCGGAGGGGAGCGCGCCTGCGCCGCCAGTCCGGCCGCTCGCGCCTGGTTCCCGACGGCCCGCCCGCGCGGTCCCTGCCCGCGGGCTCCGTGTCGCTCCGCTCCCGGGCCTGCCGCCTCCGGGGAACTTGGACGGTGCCGGGTCGGCCGGGGTCCTGCATCCCCGTAGGCCTGCACCGGGGCTTCACGTCGCCAGGCGCGGAGCACAGCTGAGGGAGGAGAGGGGGCCTGCAGCGCCCTGGGGGACCCGGGACAGGCCTCAGTGGGTATCCCCGATAAAGACCTGAGGTCTTGGTCTCACTTGGACTCAGGCTGATTTCTGCAAGCAGGCTAGGGAAATGCACAATCTAAGAAGGCTCAAGAGCAAAAACTCTGAACTTCTTTTCAAACAGAGAATATCGGTTCTGTAGTGAGTGTAAGTGATGCCACAAAAGAAAACCACCCTGTGACGCACATTACTGTATGAGGCAGTCTAACTGGGTTTTAAAAAGCAGACTTGAACAAAGTTTTGTTTAGCTTCGGGTCCTAGAGTAGGCTCATGAGTATACATATAAAGTCTGATTATAAAGTAGTCAACTAGCTGTTGACTTTCAGAACTGATAGTTCTTTGATGGGGCTTTCAGGTGCATTTATAAGATGTTGCAGCGCATCGCTGATCTCTGACCTCACTAGGTGTTGTGTGACCAACTCCTTCACAGTCCTGACAGTCCAAAGTATTGGGGTGGGGGTCAGTGAAGAACCACACTGCGTTGAAAATAATGCTGAAACCATCCTTCCTCTGGTCTCATTTGTACCTAAGGTAGCAGAAATATCCAGATTCTCATCAACCTTTGAGAGATACCATTTGTAACTATTGCCTGAACTGATAGTTTCGCAAATATTACTGTATTACAAAGATAAGTAAATGTGCACATGAGCTAATGTGTGCTAATAAAACAAGGGTGCCAACTGGAGACTGACTGATTACAAAAGGGAACTTTTCTAGTAGTACAGTGACACACTGCCTGAGACATTGTTGGCTCTCAGTAATAAAAACGTTCACCCAACCGCAGCCTTCTAGAATATAACATTGTAGATTAGAGATTAACTCGGGTTTAAGAACTCAACAACTACATTTGCATCTCTACAATCTTCTATAGTGGACTTCAACCAACATACTTCCACTTAGATTTTTATTTTTAATGCATAAATTTTTGACTTGCAGTAAGGAATCATTTCATATCAACTATGCTACTTGAGATTGGCTGCCTAGTGGTGCAATCTCTTTATTAATGTTGCACTAATAAAATAGATATTCAATGGGCACGTTAATATTTACTGAAAGCCAACAATGTCTCAGGAACAGTAGTATTCATTTTACTTACAAACTAGACTTCTTCAGAGTCTGTTACAGTAGTAATTGGAGGAATTTTTGTAAATGTTTTAGGAGGGAAGCTGTGCAGGAGTTATTCCAATATCAAATGAAATAAAACTATCTTGGTTAATAAATTCTTTTTAATGGATAAAATGCTCAAAATGAACTCAGAGAAGACTGGAGTTTGCTAATTAAAATTTAAGTACTTGCTTGTAGAATTTAAATTCCAAGCAATTCAAGAAATTAGATTATACACTATAGATTAGTATGGTAATATACTGCAAAAACAAATCCAAAAATCTCAGTGGATTTGCAAAATAAAGACTCAATTCTGACTCTTTCTTGTGAACAAGGACTTCTGCCAAACTGATCATTTCTTTTACTCTGAGCCACAATCTCTATTTCATCTCTTGGATATTACTGTATCATATTTTTCTTTCTATAATTTCCACACTCACTCCATATGTTTTCCTCATTCGCTGAACTTGTAAATACTTAAGTGCAACAACAGTCCTCAGAACCCCTGGCTTTAAATAGCATCTAGGTATCTTTTATATTGATCTCAGCTCTGAGCTCCAGACTTAATTGTTTTTTCAGTGTCTTTTCTTGGATAGTTCATATCTCACATTCAACATGACCAAATGAAACTTGAAGTTTTACTTCTTTCGTGAAAAATCTCTGCTGTTAACTTTTAAGCCAATGGCAATCTCATTTTAAGCACTGAGAAAGATATCCAAAACTTTATGTTAATTTTCTCCTTCTTCTGTCCCACCTCCAGTCTTATGAGCAAGACCAATTCCTGTCATCCACACCAGCGCTGCAACTGAGACCTTCATTTGATGACTACTTGTCATAAATGGTGTCCACTATGACTTTTGTACCCCTGTTTCCTTCATTTACTCCATCTACATTGACTTCTGCAATTTACCATATTACAAAGTGGCACTTTAAAAGCATAATTTTAGACTGTGTCACAGCTCTCATCCAAATTCTGTACTTTATAGAACAAACCTCAGGAAATCCACATGTTAAAATTAAGACAACAGAATTTTAAAAGAATTTATTGTACATATAGTTTAAAAAATTAAAGAAAAGGATGTTCATGAGACAGCAGACAGAATATCTACATAACAGAAATGACAACAATAACCAAATATATCTTAAGACAGGACCACACAAGTTGCAGAAAAACAATGTGTGAAATTGTAAACAGAGTAAGGGAAATTGTGTAATGTGAAGAACAGAGTGAAAATATGAAGCCAGACTTAATAACTTATAAGACTCCCAAAAAATCTAACCTATGTTTGATTGGAGTTCAAGAGGGAAAAGAAAGACAGAGCACAGCGGGAGTATTTAAAGACATAATGGCAAAAAAAAAAAAAAAAATAGCACTTCTCATGAAATGTTTATCATGCATATTCTTTTTTAATTTTTAAAAAAAATTATTTTATAAAGGATAAAACAATAAAACCAATCAAAACAAACCTGTGTAAGAGATACAGGACTTTAAAACATTACAAAATCAACAATAATGCCTTTTGTTGTCTTCAAAGTAGCTGCAGATACCTTCAGACATAGCAAAAATCAAACAGAACAGAATAAAATAGAAACAATAAAAACAAAACGAAGAATACAATAAAGGATTTCAAATCAAGCCAATGGTAAATCCAAAATTGCTATCATAATATATCCTGTTATCCTCGAAATAGCTGCTCCTTCCATTGGGTTTAACATAATCAAACAAAACAAAAAAGATAAAACCCAACCCAATAAAACAATGAAAGTGATGTAGGGTTTCCAAAACAAGACTACGGAGAATCAACAATGGCTACATCCCTCAGGAGATCCCCCCTAGATGACACACTGTATAGTGACATCCTCTAAACCTGTGATCAGACCACTGGCCCTAGAACTGCAGTGTTATTGTAGTGTAACACTAAAGCACCACAGGCATCCAATTGCATTTCACTGTGGTAGCTATCATCACAGCCTGTGTTTCTCCAAATAAGCTAGACACTTATGGTGTGTTGGGAAAGGAAAGGGTTGGTTGGTATTTCTTGTTTATCAGCCCATGCGCTGGAAGGGACTGGGGTCTGGCCATTACCATTCCAACAGCAGCCCACACATGGCTCAGCATGCTAATTCTTAGCTCAGAATCTGCTTTCCAGGAGAACAATCCTGTGATGTTGGTGTCATGAATGACACACACAAAAGCCCAGGGGATGGGATTTCAGAGTGAGATCACCCACTAAGGATAAAGAATACTTACCTCACTACCAATACCTGTGGTGCACAAATGGCCTTAGCAAGTGCTAACACAGTAACCTGGGATTTATATTAGTGGGCAGGGATGTTGTAGCTGTATCCAACACAGCAAAATGTGGGTGAAGTATGAATTATAAGGAGAAAAGTGGTCAGGCTTGGTAATAATATAATCCCAGCACTCTGGAAGGTCAAGGCAGAAGAACCACAAGTCTGAGCCAAACCTAGGCAAATTAGGTTCTTAGCCTCTGTCTCAAAATAAGAAATATTGGGAAACGTACCTTGGGATGAAAGACCTCAATTCAATCTCCAGTACCTCAGGTGAACAACAAAGACAAAGAGAAGAAGGAAGGTGTGCGAAGAAGAAAGAGAGAAAGAGGGAAGGGAATTGAGTGACAATTAAGGGGCTTGACTTGCATTTTAGAAAAAGACAATTGGTAATTAAAAGCTAAGCTTGGAAATTAGAGGGCTTTTTTTTGTTTGTTTGTTTGTTTTTGTTTTTTTTGCAACAGCAGGAGTCACTTCTTTCAGCGAGAAGATGAGAAAGCTGAGAAGCATGATTAGGCTTTACTAATAAGAGCAGCAGATTTCTAAAGAAGGGTGAACTCTTCAAGAATGCATATTTGCTCCTCCATACTCTGGACCTCGATTGAGAATCAGACTATGAAACCTTCTTTAGAGTTAGTGACTGGCATTTCCTCATTTCTTAAAAACAATATAGATGTTTTTCCCCAGAAAGATATTAGCCCCCTCTTAATCTTTACCTGCCATCTTTCCTGGTACCTATGCATGGATAGGGTTAATTGACCACAAGACCTGTCCATAGATACGCTGGGCATAATAAATAAGGAAAGGGACTGTATCACAAAGAAACTCTACAATCTAATCAGAACATACCAGCAGAAGCTGAAAGATTACTTATGGTAATGGATTCTGAATGTGTATGATCAAAGATGTGGAACAAAAGTTTATCATTTAGGAGACACTCCATCAAGAACCAAGGGCTTTAACATCCTTGTAAGGCACTTGTCAGATAGTCTAAATAAAGCACTTCTAGGGCTGCTTCTAAACAGCCATAAATATACACTTTTACCCAGAGCCTATGTTAACTGTCTTTCTTGAAAAAACATAAACTATCTAGACATCCTGCATAATATCACACTTGCCCACTGTGTCAACAGCATTCTAACTAGACAAGATGAACAAGAAGTGACTATTCATGGAAGTCCTTGGTAAGACACAAGTGCCTCAGAGAGAAAAGATAATCTCAAAGAAATTTCATAGAACCAAAGTATCAGTATAA